AAGCCTGGGCAAGGGGCTGATCCTGCGATTGGAGGGTGATGGGGGTCAATGCCTGAGGGCTCCCAGTATATGAGAGGGGGCAGGCTGGGCTGAGGGACACTCCCCCCCCCCACACACACACACCCAGTGCACAAATTTCGTGCACCGGGCCCCTAGTACATATAATAGAATCCCAGGTGATTCTTAAGCAGTACAATTTAAGAATCATTATTTGAGAGGGTATCCCTCCCCACACATTACTTCTGAAATGTGTAGTGAGCTCTCTGTACTTTTGAGGAATGACTGCAAGCTAATTTCTTAGTTACTTCATTTAGGTGTGCTGTCTCCCCAGCTCCAACATGAGAGCACTGAGAATGGGGACTTGTACAGCCTTGATACCCAGACTTCTAGAAGTGCCATTTATGTCTGAATAAAAAGCCTTTTGTTCCTTAATTGTAAATATGGTCATCAAATAGCCACACTGCTGTCCTAGCCAGTTTGGCTCAGTGGATAGAGCATCGGCCTGTGGACCAAAGGATTCCAGGTTCAATTCTGGAAAAGGGCACGTATCTAGGTTGCAGGCTCCTCCCCGGCCCATGCCCTGGTCGGGGATCGTGCAGGAGGCAACCAATTGATGTGTTTCTCTCACATTGATATTTCTCTCTGTTTTTCCCTCTCTCTTCCACTCTCTCTCTAAAAAAAAAAAAAAAATGCCACACTGCTCATTTCCAGTAGTGTCAGAAATTCTAGAACAACTTATGAACCCATCAACAGCCTGACAAGGTGCAGAGTTGAAATATAAAACTTACAGATTTGGCTTCTGTGCTATTGTCAAGGTAGTCTTCCCTCACAGCTAGGGAGAGCGTTGCTTGGTCCAGCTGTTGAAATAAAAACAAAAAAGTATTTTGCTTGCACTGTAAATTATTATGTACCATGTTAACAAGAGTCATGAGATCTGAATCCCAGTCATATTTTGAGCTTGTGTTACCATTACAAAAACAACTTAGTACACTCAGATCTACCAGTAAATAGACACTTCAGCAATGATAGATATTATGAAGTATCAGAGACCTGCCTCTGCTTCCCCAATTCATGGCTTCTACCCCTTTTCAAGGTTCTATCAATAGTAAATAACCTCAAAGATATTTGAATGGGAATAGTTCTTAGAGATTATCTGATTTGCCCCCTTACTTGATGGGTGGAGACAAAAGCCTGAGAAGTGATGTGACTTTTCCAAGGTAACATGGTTGAGCAGAGCTCATAGAATCACTGTCTCTTGTTGCCAGATCCAGTACTCCTCTCACTCAGTATTTTGCAAAATGCCCATCTGGATGGAACAGACTGTCCACTTCCCCACCCCTAAAATACTGTGTTGGATTGATTTAAATTATAATTTTGAGAAATCTTAACAAATTTAGAACCCTCCCTGGACAGTTAGGATAGGTGATAAAAATATAAATAATAGGAAACAAAATAACTAGAATTATTATGGAAAAGTATAGCATAATCATTGGAATTAAAACTTTCAGCACTTTAAAGGTGATCAAAGGGAAGAAGGTAGTTTTTTCCAAGAACATGCTAGAACAACTCGACATCCATATGCAAAAAAAAAAAATGAACCTCCACCCATAGCTCAAAAATTAATCCAAAATTAATCATAGACTTAAATGCAAGACCTAAAAACTATAAACTTCTAGAAGGGAAAACTCAGATCTTGTGACCTGAATTTAGACAAAGAATTCTTAGACATGACAGCAAAATTGCAATCCATGAAAGAAAAAATAAATTAGACTTCATCAACATTAAAAAATACTGCTTTGTGAAAGAGAACAAAAAGACAAGCTACAGAGAAAATATTTAAAAATCACATGCAGGATGGGGCAAAAATGGGTTTACAGTTGTTCAAATGGAAAATACAATAATTAATCTATATATATAAAAGGCTTAGCAACCATCTGACTGGCCAGTAGGTATGACGTGCACTGACCACCAGGGGGCCGACGCTCAATGCAGGAGCTGCCAAGCTGCAGTGACTTGGCAGCTGTGGTTCTCGGGTGACACACCCTGCAACCAGAGAGGAGGGAGCCTGATTCCTCACTGGGATGCGGAATTCCACCTTTGGCCGTGGGTTATGTTATTTCTGGGGCACTGTTGGCCCCGAATCTGGTTTACTGCACACTTGTGTTTGCGTTCCAAACCCTGTACGACAGCAATTTTGCAGAGTGCCCTCTTACACTCCGGGACCCCTCGGAGGATGTCAGAGAGCTGGTTTCGGCCCCATCCCTGCAGGCCAGGCCGAGGGACCCCCAGAGAACAGGGTTTGGGGATGAGGAAACTGGTTGACTACAAAGGGGCAACATGAGGTAATTTTGGGTGGAGGTGATGAAACTATTTTATTTCTTTATGACAGTGATTACATGACTCTGCATTTGTCAAAACTTATAGACACATGCATCACAAAAAGTGAATTTAACTACATTAAATTTAAAAATGAAATTTTATAAAGAACTTTCTCTAATTCTGTGGTCATTTTTTTCTTGAATGTCAACAACTGCCTAAAGACTAAATTATGTGGATCCCAACAGCAGATTTTCTCATTTAAATTTGATTCAGACATAAAAATGTTAGGTCAAATTAACAGGATATGAAATCTAAAAGACAAATAAAAAATTAGTAGCATCTTAATAAAAAACGGATCCCATATTCCTATATCATTAGTTTATACAGTGCTAGATTATTTGGGTCTATATCTATTTTCTTCTTCATTTTATTATAAGCTTAAATATTTTCTATGTACAGGGTTATAGTTTTCCATGAAAATCTTCTTTATAAGCAATAAATTCTAAAAAGGCAAATTAAGAGTTAGCAAAGTCATGAAAATTTTAAGAAAAATATTGCTCTTGTTTCAATGCAGGAGGGGGGGAGATGTTTCCATAACATTCACTTTGTCTGTGTGTATTACTAAAACCCTCAAATTATTGTGTTCAATCTTTTTCTCTAATTGGCTCAAAACAACCAAGTCACAGGCCAGCCTGGCTTCATCATAATGCAATTCCCAATCTACTACTGTTTCTTCCAAAATTTAAGCAAGCCAGAACCACAAAACACAATATTATGATTAAGATGTTTTGGATTTCAATTAGATTTGGACCACTTCGAGAATCTTTTGATCTTCAGTCTCACAGGAAAGGAAATTGAGTAGACAACATTAAGAGAGCCAAAGCTTCCCTCTGATGAAATGAAGTTTAATTCACTTAGTGTAAAAGTCTCAATGATTAAAATGAAGTTACCTGACCTTTTTTAAACCGTCACATTGTTATGGTTTCTAGGGAACATTTTAAATACACAAAACAGATTAAATAAGGTCTGTCAACTAAATCTCATTAGGAACATACAAAGTCTTGAGGCAAAAGACTTTCTCAAGAGGCCAACATTAGGACACTGTTATTTGAGGTTTGCTTGTGTGTTTTTTTAATTCTTATGTCTGAATATTGCAAGTTGAAAATAAAATATCTGTTTGGGAAACCCAACACATTGAACTGAAATATGAATTGTTTTTCTCCAACTGCAATAAACCTCAGGTTAGGAAGAAAAGTAGTAATAAAAAAAGAAGTATCTGACAAATTATGATATAAGAAAAGGACAGACAAAGAAATGAGAAAAACATCATTTCTAAGAGAGGCTGTCCTTGTCATACTTTCGGATTTTGCTATGAGTCAGACAAAAGCAGGCCACTGAGTGATGATGACTTTAAGTCATTGTTTCAGTAACACATACTGATGAGACAACCCTGGCCTTCCAAACCCTCATGATCACATATATTCAAGTATTTCACTATCCCTTAAATCTTCATTCTTGTTATCCTCTTACATAAATAAACCCAAATACATGTAACAAGGATTGGGGACATCAACTTCTGTTGTTTTCTGTATGTTTCTACCATTTAAGCCTGTGATAAATCCTGTGCCATCTCACCACAGAGGAAAAGGAAGTCTAAGTACATTGAGGGAGGATGGTTTGAGGTAAAGGAGACTTCTCCCAAAGCAAAAAGAGGTTCTTCTAGGTAGCCAAAGAAGTCAAAATATCTCCTGAGCAGAGGGGCCAATCAATGTCCCTAGAAAGTGGCAGGATCTGCGAGGGAGTGAGGGCCCAGGGCCCCAGCAGCAGAGACTCACACTGGAAGGGCAACATGAACTGGGATAGTGGGTTTATTTTCAGAAACAGGGAACTGATGATTGGAGGATCTCCCAGGAGCCAAGAAGAAGGCTGAGAAATGGGCAACAAGGAGGTAGGGAAGTGACCAGACTGGTTCAATTTCCCACTAAAAGGTGGGGTGGGAGCTCAGTCATTGATGAAATTGACTAAAGAAAATGCCCGTTTCTCACATACCTGAATTTGAAATCTGAGTGTTATGTTGGTTACAAAAATTGAACCAAATGGTTCTGACCAGTTGCCTGGTCATGCTTTAGGACAGCGGTGGAGAACATCAGGCTGTCAATGGGTTCATAAGCTGTTCTGTTTGTTTTTAAAAGAGAGTAATCTATTGACACAAGGCAGAGGTCAATTGGACCATTACCATCATTGTGTCTTGCACAGCATGCCTTGCCCTGATAGCATTAGAATATGTGTCAGTGCTGTGTTATCACCCAACATGGAAATAACAGCTGTCACTGGAACTAAGAATTTTCTCTTGAGTAGATGGGAATTCTTTGTGTCTAAAGACTTCCACTGTTGGTAGATATGGGAAAACTACAGCCTGCAGGCCAACCAGCCACACACCCACTCATGTCTACAGATGCTTTCCCAGGTACAAAAGCAGAGTTGAGCAGTTGAGACAGAGATCCCATGGCTCACACAGCCCAAAATATTTACATCTCATCCTTTCCAGAAAAAAATTGCCAGCTGCTTGGTATAAATCAGAAAAAAATAAACTCTAGCCCAAGTTGGTTTGGCTCAGTGGATAGAGTATCTATCGGTGGAATGAAGGGTCCCAAGTTCGGTTCTGGTCAAGGGCATGTCCCTTGGTAGCAGGCTCGATCCCCAGCCCTGGTTGGAGCACATGCGGGAGGCAACCAATTGATGTGTCTTCTCTCACATCGATGTTTCTCTCTCTGTGTCTCTTCCCATCTCTTCCACTCTCTCTAAAAATCAATAGGAAAATATCCTCAGGTGAGGATTAACAAAAAATAAAAATAAATTAATGCCAGAATGTGGATTTTAAAAATTTGATATGTCAGGAAAGGGTAACACACTCTAAAAGTTTTATACTTCTATGATTTGAATATAAATATATTATTAATATTTTCTAGCTCAAAAAAGGACAGAACTGGGAGGGAGGAAGCAGTGGCTCAATAAAATTTTCATTATTAGTCAAAGTAACTGAGGAGGCAAAAAATGGTAGAATCAAAGCAAAACATTTTGAGAAATGTCATTTGAAGTCTTGCCAAGCTCTTTTATTAATGAATCTTTCATTGTTGGTAGTCTCCTGATTTTACCAATCTGTGTCAAGGTATGTCTGTGTGGCCCATTCCTTGGAAGAGAAGGGATGCTTACTCTCACAATAGAAAATGCAAGCCAAGCACTTGGAACAAGTTTCACTTTATCTTATGAAAGGAAAGGAAGAGATTCAGACTGAATTTGACAATGAAATTTTAGGCATATATGCAAGAAGACTTTAGTGATGGAAGAAGAAGGAATCATGGCATGTGTTCTCTCCTTTGTCAGGGGAATGAGAAGGTGAGGGGAAGAAGAGAGTTCAGAAAGTTTTTGTATATGGAAGAAATTGAAGCAGTCATCAAAAAGCTTCCAGCAAACAAAAGCCCAGGACCAGACGGCTTCACAGGGGAGTTTTACCAAACATTCAAGGAAGAACTAAAACCTATCCTCCTCAGACTACAACAAAACATCCAAGAGGAAACACTTCCAA